AAAGGTGTGTTGATGACAGATAATGTGTCATTTTCTTCAAAGGGAAAAATACAGAATTTCAGAGACCTACTTTGTGATGAATTTTTCAGAATTCTAATCAAGAAATAGGTTTAGATTTATTGCCACTTACATGAAAATTTTTTTAATTTAAGCATATCAGTAAAAGGTTACATAAACAATAGAAAATAACCAATGTGTTGAAGTTGAATATTTGGAAAAGTTTTTCAGATCTCAAAATTTATTAAGTAAGTCTTAGGAAATTACCTAAGGCACTAAGAGATTAAGGGACTTGCCCAGAGTCATACAGCTAGTATTAAAGGCAGGATTTGAGCCCAGCTCTTCCTGACTCCATGCACTGAATTCTATCCACTATACCACCCTCTTTGTTAATAAAACTACCCTTTTAAAAACTGATCAGTATGCCATGATAATGTAAGAGTTTTTGCAAGCTAGTGAAGAGTAATAGAATGAATATTGCATGTTTTAATTGTATAGGGCTTGGGATAATTGTTTGAGACATTGGAAAGGTAAGCCTAAAAATTCATTTGCATTGCAAATATGCTTCCACTAAAATTATCAGGAAAGGTTAATAACAGTATTCTTGCTAAGGAGCCCAGAATTCACAAAACATGTCATATTCCAAAAATTTTTGAAGATAATTGTTAGGATTTTAAAAAAAATTGGTGGAAAACCAAAAATAGCCAATTCTAAGTCACTTCTGTATTAATCCAGACCTTCTGTATGCTAAGTCTGTAGCTGTAGAGAGGGAGAAACACTAAAAAAAATTATCCACTGGGCAGTTCTGGCCTTAGAAAGTTATGCTGCAGAGGTTTATGATGGTAGGCTGACACTGTCCATTCACTCTCCCCTACAATTGACATTAGTTGATAAGAGCTGAAATACTGAGCTGGAACTTGACTTAGGTAGCTAACCATAGCAAAGAGCAAATTGATTTTCTGTTAGCAAGTTTAGGTTTTTTCTTCTCTGGGTTGGAATTTGAAATCAGAAAACGGGAAATGGATCTGCTTTGAAAACCAACATAATTTTGAATTTCTTAGAATTGAAAATAGATTTCTGTCATTTTTAGAAACAGAATGTGGAGTGACATATGTTTGTGCTAAATAAGCAAAAAGATTCAGGGGGAGGGGGGATTTAAATGTCTCAGGCAATGTTCTCTGCCTACTAAGCACTTTCTTTTGTTTTAAGTTATTAGAATTCCTTCTTTGGAATGGAATCTAAAGGTTATATTTTTTCATCTACCAGAAATTCAATCACGTGATGAAAAAAAATGAAAGTACTCCCATTAGAAATACTGAGAATTCCTTCAGTTTATTTTAACTTGCTTTTGGGATACTGATCTTCAAAGTATCACATTGGATAAAACATCTTCAAAGTATCACATTGGATAAAACATCTAGACATACATGCTATAGTATATGCCTGAGAATTTTATAACTAGTTCCTTTGTGTTCATGGACTCATGAACAACAGTTAATAAAACTAGAACTGTACAATATTGGAGTTTTTCAGTAGAAAAGAAAAGAGAGGCTGTAGGAGGTAAGACTGAATGCTTCAGTATCTCTGGCTGTCTGGAAAAAGTTGAATCGTGTGGGAAAACTTCATTGTAGAGGTCCAACAGATGTATTTTTTTTTTCCTAGTGATTTAGAACATCTTTCTTCCATTCAAAGAACCTCTGCAGGTGTTGCTTTGTTTGTGGACTTTTCTGAGGGAAAAACATAACCATGTAGTACAACTTTGTGCTATCCCCCCAGGGAGCTGGATAAGTGTATACTTGATAAAAGGCAGGAAAAAAGACTTGTTTACAGCATATTATAGTGAAGTTGCAGTATAATGCAGTTCTCATGATTTGTAGAATTGGAAGAGATGTGAGATTATCTAATTAGTATTTGTCAATAAATCAGATGTTTAGTATTCTGGAGTCTTGCCCATGCTATTAATTTTCTGAACCTGAAATAGTTTCCCATGCACCACTTGAAATCCTATTCACCCTTTAAGTTCAAGCCTGCTTAAGATGCCATCTCCTCTATGTATCCTTCCCTGCCCCTCAGACAAAAGTGACTCTTTCTTCTTGTCAGTTATCCTAACGCTTCGTTTTTAACCGTTTGTGTTGTGTGTTTGGCTTATTTCCATTGGGGCAGCATTTCCATCTTTGATATACCACACATACATCCCAATACCTAACACACAGCACTGATAATACAGAATTTTCACAAAGTAGTAAATATTAAGTGAATTAAACTGAATCTAGGCTGACTTCCTTATCTTATAGATGAGACCCAGAAAAACTTTATTGAATTCACACTGTAGTTAAGTAGCAAGGGCAGTACTGAGCACAGGTTTTTTTTAACTCCCCGTCCACTTTAATTGTAGGTTACCATTTAATTATTTCAGATGACCATATGAATGCACACACATATTGTTAGATTTCTAGTACAAACTCAGGAATAAATCATAGAAAAGGATGTAGTCATTTTAATCCAATAATAAACAAAAAATATACGAGCATCTATCATTCTTTACCCAGTGGCTTGCTGAGAACTATGGGAACACAAGGAAAATATGACAAAAATCTTACCCTTTAAGAGCTCATATTGTAGTTGGGGATTATACTTAAGACGATTAGTCATTATAAAACAGGGTTTTATTTAATTCCTCACCTTCAGCAGATCTGTAATTTCATCAAAACATACTAAATAACTAATTACAAAGACTATTGTATTCATTGATGAATTTGAGAACTTTTTATGGTGGTCCTCTATCCCAGAGAATGGCACTTTAAGTATCACAGAAATATCATCAAATGTGTCAGGATTTGTTGAACAACAGAGCCAGAATACTAGAATTTCAGCGTTGGAAGGGACCTCAGGCAACATGTGGTCTGACCCAGTCCAGAAAAGAATTCCTTCTACAAACATACCTGACAAGGGTCATGCAGCGTTTGCTTGAAAACCCATATTCAGGAGGAGCTCTTAGCTACCAAGGCAACCAATGCATTCTATTTTAGATAGCTCTCATAATTAGAAAACTTTTCTTTGAGTCTAAATTTGTCTCTTTTCAGCTTCCATCTATTATTCCTAGTGTTACCTTTTGGGACCAAAAAAAAAATCCAATTCTTCTACATTATGTCCTTTTAAATACCTGAAGACAACAACTGTAACATCTTCCTAATCTTTCCTCCCTTTTTTTGTCCTAAACTGTGATTTCATTGGCATAGGGAATTCCCAGTGAGAAAATCACCCCTACTGTTCTACAGAACTCTAGATAAGTTAACATCAAACCATTAATGAAGATTCTTTGGTTCTGGCTATTCTATTTAAGCAGTTCCTAATCCATCAAACACCATTCATCTCTCCAAACTCCATCCATCCATCCATCCATTCATAACATCATTTCTCCATCTTTGCTTAAAGAGGAACACAAAGAGATTTTTATCAAATGCTTTGCTAAAATCTATTTGAACTAGATTTGCAGCATTCTATTGATCTATAAATTTAAGAACCTCATCATAAAAGGAAGTTAATTTAGCCTGGCATGAGCTATTCTTTTTTTTTTTTTTTTTAACATAGAACAAACTTAATTTACAGAGTAAAATTCAGGGAAATGAATTGCATGTGAGCCCATAGATAATCCAGAGAAGCAAATTCCCCCTTCTCTTTTTTGGAGGGTACTCTTTTCATGGCTTGTTCTTAATGAAGCCATTCTGGTTCCTTGTTATTATCACTTTCTTTTAGATGATCAATAATGGTCTCTTTGATAATATATTCTAGAATTTTTTCCAGGAACTAAAGTCAAACTTATTGACTAGTTTGTATTCTCTTTCCTATTTTTGAAAAGTGAGATGCCATTTTTCCTTGTCCAGTTCTGGGCATCTCTCACTTTTTTTCCATGAGCTTTCAGATATCATTTACATTGTCTTACCAGTGACATCTACCGCTTTTTTCAGGACATAAGGATGCTAATCATCTTTGATAGGTAATTTGGATTCATCAAGGCAACTAGATGCTCACTCATTCATTTTGTTCTTTTCATCCAGTACAAATATCCTTCTCTTTGGCCGAGGAATTAGAATCAAAGTAAAAATTTAGTAGCTCTGCCTTCTGCCTGTTAACAGATTGAATTTGGATGGATTAGCCCATCCAGTGGGAAAAGCAGTCCTATCCCCTCTTTCATCTCTTTTCCATAGCTTAAAAAAGAGAAGGCAAATAAAACCTTTTTAAAAATTCCTTAGATTTAATCACTAGCATCAACTCGTTCTGAGCTTTGACATTTCCTGGTGTAGTACTGTGACATGTGTGTTCATCCTTTTACCTACTTGTGTTTGCTCCAGTTGTCTTTTTGTGCCTTTTTCAAATTCAGGTTGATTGGTGAATTACTTGCACATCAGTCTCTTCAAACAACTGCCATTTTTCCCCCTCAGTAGAATTTTTTTCTGTTTGTGTCTTTAGAATTTCATTCTTAAGAGGTTCCAATTCCTCTTCGGCTGACTTCTGCAGAATCTGGGCCCATGACATCTTACCTCTCTTTCTGAAATTAAACCAAAGGCTTGTGATTCTTAGAGATGGAATAAACTTCAAGAGAATATATGATGCCGTTAACCCTTTTGCCATCAAGCAAGCAAGATATTACTTTTCCTATGGATAGGGCAGCTGAGGCCTAAAAGTACTAGCCCTCGCTAATAGTGTGGGTAGCCTAGACTTCGGTGGCTTCTTGCTCTTTCCTCTGTGCCTTTGTAGACCACGTGTCCCAGATGCTCCAGAACAGTCCTGACTTCAACAAGAAGAAAGTTTTATGTTTTTAACGTGGCTTTTCAAATGGCACGTTTCACCTATGCTAGTAGTGCTCTCCTGGTAATAAGCAAACAGTCCTGCTGAAGAGCACATTTCTAGTTTAGAACATGTTTCTTGTCACCATGTCACGCTGCCCCTCTACATGTCAGTGTGCTTTAGCTAATCTCTGATTCCTGTTTCTGTTTCACCAGGAAGATATTCCACGACAACTTGTCTACATTGGTCTTTACCTCTTTCACATTGGTGGAGCTTATCTTTTGAAGTAAGTGGTAGGGGCTTTTTTACATCTTTTATCCCCCGTATTCATAGCAGTTACTAAACTAATACTTGTTCTATGTGTTTGTTTCTGTTTTAACAGCTTGAACCATCTGGGACTTGTTCTTTTGGTGCTGCATTACTTTGTTGAGTTTCTGTTCCATATTTCCAGACTGTTTTATTTTAGTGATGAAAAATATCAGAAAGGGTAAGTTATTTGTCATATCTCTGAAATAGCACAAATATTTTAAATCCATACCCAAGTTACTCTGCTTTGTACAGTTGTCTTTGAAAGCTTAAAATAAAGTGAAAATACTTGATGTTACAAAGTAGGTAGTAATGCGTTTCTTTAATCCCAGGAGATAATTTGAAAATATTTTATATCCTGTCATTGAGATTACACTTATAAATTATATACAGACATGCTTACCTTTATCAAAGAAGTGTAAATGTTCAACAGTAAGTGGAAAGATAGTAGGACATCCTTGTAAAATGATTAAACTAAAATGCTTTTGGTAGGGCAGGAGCTAAAACAGTAAATAGGCCTGAAAACAGAATTAGAAAGTAAATTATAATGGTACAAAGTCTTTTAAAAAAACTCTAACCCAGCATATATGTTTCTGAACTAAGGTAGAAAATTAAATATTTTATCTTTGAGATTTTTTTTTTAAGTTCATTTCATGACTTCTCATCTAGTTTTTACTGTGATCTTTTTCTTGTCTCGTTTATTGTTGTTAATGAATTTGTCTTACAGATTTTCTTTGTGGGCAGTTCTATTTGTTTTGGGAAGACTTCTGACTTTGATTCTCTCTGTATTAACTGTTGGCTTTGGCCTAGCAAGAGCAGAAAATCAGAAGCTGGATTTCAGTACTGGAAACTTCAATGTGTTGCCTGTCAGGTGCAGTAGATTTATTCTTAGCTATGTCACTTTTGTTCGGGGGTAGGTTTTACATGGTTTTGATGGAAAGATTCATTCCAGAGAGAAACAAGTAAATTTGGGGGCTTGATCGTCAACAGGGGAGAGGAATATTAATTTATATTAAATTCATTTCTCTGGCAGGTTCATAAATCCTATGTCAGAGTGGAATGGACCATATATTTAACCCCAGGGAATAAATCATCAATTGAAATTTTTTTTGGTAGTATTTTACATCACCATAGTTTTGTTTTGTTTTGTTTTGTTTTTAATATAATAGCAATGTTTGGCATTCAAAGCCTTACATAACCTAAACCCCACCCCCCTTTCTTATCTTTTTATACCTTATTCCCTGCCCCATACTCAGAGATTGAGTGACACTGGCCGCCTGGCTGTTCCACAAACAAGACCCTCCATCTCTCAGCTCCAGGCACTTTCTCTGGCTGCCCCTTTGCCTTGAATGCTTTTCTTTTTCCACTCTACCTCCTGACTTCTTTCAAATCCCAAATAAAATTCCATCTTTTACAGGAAGTCTTTGCCAACCCATCTTAATGCTAGTACCTTCCCTCCTTTAATTATCTGCTATTTATCTTGTCATTGATAGCTTGTTTGTACATGTTTGTTTGCTTTTTGTCCCCCTCCATTTGACCAAACTCCTTAAGGACAGGGACTATCTTTTGCCTTTCTTTGTGTCCCCAGCACTTAGCACTGAGCCTGGCACTTAATGAATGCTTATTTACTGACTGAATTTAAACATTGAAAGGATATTGCCAAAGAAGTCCTTGTTTACACTTCATTCATTCGTTCATTCATTTATTTGCTTTCTTGCTTGCTGGTATGGATTAGCCAATACATATAGTAATTAAGAGGATTTAAATTGGCTGAAATTTTTTTTTTCTTTGCTTTACCTATAATACTAGTGACCTCTTGGTGATAAGCAAACAGTCAGGCTAGCTGAAGAACACATTTTAGTAAGTGTGATTTTTCTATAACCACACCAGAAAAATCGATAATCTTTTCATTTGAAAAAGAAGCAAATGAGGAAGAACCCATTTAATAAGGAAGTAAAATAGCTCACAAGAAGTATAGAAAATTTTGGCAAGAAATAAAGACATTTTTCCGAGGCAAATGATAGCATATGTAATTCAGCCTCTTTTTGAAACAGAAAGGCAACTTTCCCCTTAATTTTTTTTTGTCCTAACATACTCTAATATTTTCTGTTTCTTTTTAAATCTGTTCACAGAATTGCTGTTCTTGCATCAATCTGCATTACTCAGGCATTCATGATGTGGAAGTTCATTAATTTTCAGCTTCGAAGGTGGAGGGAACATTCTTCTTCTCAGCCTCAGATTGTGAAAAAGAAATCTGCAGTAACTAAAGGCAGGTCTTCTAGAAAAGAAAAAGGTTAGTATTGCCCACTATGAGTCAAAGACTCCTTGAAGTAAAAGAGAATGTGAAACAGTAGTTATGTTTCTCTTTTTGAAAGAACTTCATAAAACCTAGGGTGCATTAAGTATGATGTGGCACCATACCTCAAAGCAGCCCCTCTACTCAGACTAAATTTTGTTTTTAATTTTGCTGCCACCATGAGGGAAGACAGGAAAAGAATTTCTCTCATCAAAAGTTTCCTCTGAGCCTTAACCTTCACTCTTTATTCTCAATGGCTTTGTTTTGGTACATTGGTCCCAAACCTTCATACGTTGCTGTCAACACAATGCACATGTTCTTGGTGTCCAATTAATCTTTTACCAGGGTGTACAAAATCTTATTAGCTTCAGTCAGATTAGGTTTAAATGTATTTAATCTTTCTGCCGTTGAGGCTACTGATAGTTTAAATATGAAAATACTACAAGAATTTGCTGTAAGGCCTATTTGATCCATTTTCCATTCTAGTCTTTGGAAGAGTAAGATTCTTTTCTCTTTTGTTTCTTCTCTTGTTCTTTTCATACAAGTGATCATGGCCAAATGGGGATAATATCATTTGTACTACTTACTTGTTCCTAGGAAGGGACTTTAGTGACCTTGAAATGCTGTATAAATATGAGTTTTTACTATTTTCTTTGTTCTTCTCGTCTGTGCCTCTGGCTTCTTTTCACAACTATTCTGACATTGCAGTCATGTCCTGTACTTCGTGACAGACAGATGTAACCCCAGCATTGGTCGTAGGAAGTCCTCTCCTCCCTCTATCCTCTCAGCCCTCTTCTCCTTTAACGCATTCTGGAGTCCTCTCCTTTGCCTCTCCTGGAATAGTCTAATGGGCTCTAACTCCCAACCCCAGCACTCTGCCATCTGGATATTTGCACTCTTTGCCCTTCGCAGCCATCTCTACTTCTTAGCATTTTTACCACCCCCTCACTTGCCCAGTTCACCTTGTTGGCTCATCTCTGGCCACTCCAATTTCCAGCCCTCACCATCATTGATATAGTTCACATTTGCATTTTCTGAACAGCTCCTATAGATTTTTGAAATGTTTTTAGGACCCCACATTTATTAACAAACATAATTCGGGCTTGTATCCAATGTATTGGATTGTTTTACTTGACTATTCTTATGTCTCACAAGGGAAGGCTTCTACCAAGGAGGTGGAGTTGGTGAGTAGTGATGAAAAAAAAAAGAAAAGGAAAAAAGAACATCAACAAACATTAAAAACATAGATGAAGAGCACCAGCCCTGGAGTCAGGAGGACCTGAGTTCAAATGTGGCCTCAGACACCTGACACTTACTGGCTGTGTGACCCTGGGCAAGTCACTTAACCCCATTGCCTAGCCCCACCTCCACCCCCACCCCCCTCAATCAAAGACATAGATGACACCACAGGAAATTTCAGAAAGGGACAGATAAGGGCAATTTTGTTACTAACATATTCACCTTTTAGGAAAAAAACTGCATAGCAGAAGTTCATCCTTCATGTACTGTCCTTTTTCTGTTCTTGTTTGTAAATTAAGTGTTGGTGTTTCTTAAGTTCATGAAAAAGAAAGAGTCTGGTTGGTAAACAAAGTCAGGGTCCAACATTTTCAATATTAGAGCTGTCAAAGTTTTCATGACACTGAATTTTTCTTTCAGTTTACAGCTATTTGAAAGAGTGAAACTTAATGAAAATAGAAGTTCAATTTTATAGGAAGAGGCCAAGCAACAACAGGATAGGCTCTTTTTTTTTTTTTGGAGGCAATCAGGGCTAAGTGACTTGCCCAGGGTCACACAGCTAGTGTCTGAGGCCAGATTTGAACTCATCCTCCTCACTCCAGTGCTCTATCCACTGCCACCTAGCTGCACCTCCAGATAGGCTCTCAAAGGAAAAATTAGAAATAAAACAACCTACCAGTCTTATGTGTTAGTGAAACAATAATTTTTCCAAGAGTCCCTGACTTGTAGTTGAGAGATCTGAAGTCAAATCCAGACCTTGTCATTTAAATCTTTCTAAACTTCAGTGGGTTATTTAACCTCTGAATCTCAATTTCCTCATTTATAAAGTGGATAGGATAATATATATGTGCCATTGACCTTATTGTTGTGAAGATAGTCATCAATATGAATTGTTCTTGAGAATCCAGAGGGAAAAGCAAGTTTTGTTGGACTGGTCCTTGAACTAGCTGTTAGAGGGAAATTCTGGCTTCAGTACTGAAGTAGCTGACTGAATCTTTCAGCCTTCTTTTTTGCTTATTGAATGGGCTTAACATTGAGAGTCTAGGTGTTGTGGGAGAGATTTAGGACCTGGGTTTGAGTCCTGGCTCTGCTACTCATTAGCTCTGTGACCTTCAGTAAGTCACACATTTCCCTGCACCCCAGCTTCCTACCCTGTCAAACTGGAACTATCAGACCTAGCCTGCCTCATGGGATTTTTGTGACTATTCGATTGAAATGATAATGTGAAGATGCTTTGTAAATTGTAAAGCAAAATCTAAATTTAAAGTTGAAGTCTTATAACTCTTTCCAGGAAAGATGTTACATGATCTTGAGGTCTTAGATATGTAAGGTAGTAAGATGAAAAGGCATTGTACTAGTTTGGAGGCCTGGCTTTTATTTCATGCATTACCACTAATTATGTTACTCAATCATTCTTTGTCTCTGTTTTCTCATTTATAAAATGTATTGACTCCAGAGCAGCAATTTTCAATGCAGTACCTCTTTAAAGACAAAAAAAAATTAATATAGACAACAATTCTTTTTGCAGATCCTTTTTTTTAAAGTGCTACTGTGTTTTAGATTTTTTTTAAGTGTATAAAATACAGCTCTGATTAGCTTCATTTCCTTCACTTTTAAGTGGAATTGTAAATATTATCTGTAACATTTGGTGTATAGCAGGTGCTTCAAATTAATTAAATTAGAATTTTTAGCCTACTAGTAAGATAGCATTGGTTCCAAGTCACAGATATTTCAAAGGGGATAAACAGGCGAAGCTCTTATTTAGGGAGCTGAACATTCCAAGAACTATAGGAGCATTATGAGGTGTTTTTTCAAGGAGAATAAAAGGATTTATTTCTTTAACCATATAGTTATAGAACCTTAGAACTAGGGTCTTAAAATCTTCTAGCCCAAGGTCTTTATCTTGTGGTGGCTCAATGTCAGCTGCTTTTCGCAGGGAATTGCCTGGTTTTATTTCGTTTTGCTTTGTTTAGTATGTTGAATAAGAGAGAAATCTTAACAGCCTCCCTCACCTATCCTAGTCTTTTATCCCCTTAACAATTAAGAAATCATTCCTGATTTTGTATGACTTTTCCCAGATATACATTAAGGTGAGATGACCTAAATGACTCTAATTAGTGTCTTTCAAATAGAATATGAAATACATGTGTGTGTATTTATGTGTGTATATATACATACATTATATTCATATATACATAAATGGATTACTTCTTTTCCATCATTCTTTTTTTAATGTATGTATCCCTGAAGCAGGTCAGTATTGTTAAGAACATAAAAGTGTTTTCAGAACTATGTCCACTGAATCCTAGTGCTGTCTGACCTTTGTGAATAAGAATTTGGGGGGATATACTCAAGGCTAGTGAAGGAGCAGAAGTCTCCACACTCTGTAAGTCCTACTTAGCTATTTGGCTGGGTTGAAGGGATGAACTGAATGATGAATCAGGATATTTGGCCGTCCTCATCCTGACCTGGGCACCAAAGAGACACTGGGAGTACACTGCAACATTTTGGTTATTGTTTCATTGATTCTGCGTTTCTTTTTTATCATCACTCTCATTCCCACCCCTCCCACCCCCATAGAAGCCCTTTGTCGTAACCAATAAGTATAGGCAAGTAAACCAAACCACACATTGGCTCTTTGTAAATGTCTATTTCTCTCAGCACATCTAGTTGATCCAAGAGGTGGGAAACATAATTTGTCATCTGTCTTCTGGAGTCCTAATTGGCCTTTGTGTCGGTTGATGTCTTTCAAAGTACAACTTTGTACTTTGTACACAGCCTTGTTACATATACATACAAGTTCTCCCCACCCCTCAAAAGTCTCTCTTTCAGTGCCCCTTACAAATCCTTTATCTGACACACCTCATACACGCACTACCATTACTTCCTTCTCCCCAGTTGTATGGCACAATGTGTCTTCCATTCCTGTTACACATGCCACTTTCAGCAAATCATAGCCCTTCTTCAAGATTGCCTTCTTAGTCGGAAAGGCACATTATACTTAGCCAGTAAAATTTATAACGTGTAACCTGTGAATCCCTTGATCACTGATTGAAAATGAATGTGGAAAGGATGCTTATGCTGGAAAAGGGGCAAGGATGTGGGCTTTTGAAAGCAGTGTATAATTCACCATGATAGAGGTTCTCATGTATGTTGAACCCAACCAGCAACAATGATGAATCAGCTACTGCAGAAGTCCATTTTAGGGTGTGTGTTAAGATGAATTACTTTCTGAGAAAGACAGATCTGTTGGGGATACACGGGATAGATTATCCCTGGGTGACACTGTCTTTAGAGAGAAACCAAAACTGTGGGGAAATCTCATCTTGCTACAACACAAGACAGATAATAGTTAACTATGTTGCTATGTCCCAATGGGCTGGTTGGGAAGCACTAATACATAATATGTGGTAGGTGTTGCTATTCAACCATTAACTTATGTCTAAATTTATTGATGCCAAATAGATTTTTTAAAAAGACTTAACAGAAGCGGTGCAAAACTGCACTAAAACTTCCCCCTAGAAGTTTTAAGAAATTAGTAATTCTGGGTAAATTAGTATTTAGGAAAACTAAGAGTTTATCCTTCAAGTGTCATTTTTTTTCCTAAAATTTGACAGTTTCTGTTGGAAAACTTTCTAAAAGTGATGATGTTATCCCCTGACTTCTTAGACTATATTAATTAACCTTATCTTCAGTAGACAGGTCTTAGACTGGCGCCATGGATGGTGAGCTAAGTTCACAATTGTGTTGGAAGAAGAAGAGATCATAGATCTCGAACTGAAAGGATCTGAGAGGCCTTCAGCCCAACCCCTTCATTTTGGCAGCTGAAGAGAGTGGTACCAAGAGAGGATAGGAGGCTTGCCCAAGGTGACACAAGTGGCAAAGACAGGCCTTGAATCCCCAAACTCCCACTCTTTCCACTGTACCAGTCTGCAGTGATGACCAAGTTATCATTAGGCGCAGCTATTGTTATTATAGTAAGTTGTGGCGACAGGGATGCCTTCAGTGCCTCTTGGTGAGGCAACTTGACATAGTGGATGGAGTATTGGATCTGAAAGGTCTGGGTTGAGATTCCACCTTTAACATTTAGTAGCTGTGTCCTCTTTGGCAGTCACATAACCGTGTCGGTTTCCTCAGCTGTAAAATGGGGATAATATAAGTAGTGAAGTGCTTTGTAAATTTTAAAGCCCTATGTAAACATAGACTATTTGTATTTTTCTTAATCCTTGCACCAAGTGGCACTAAGTGCAATTTATTTTTAAGTTCCTTGTTGCTTTTTATAGTTTTTCTCTTTCTTGTACTCATTTCTTACTGTTCAGTATGCCTGTCCTCAAACACCCAAAACCTTCTCTACCTTCAGACTTGCCGGAAAGGCAGGGGAGTGAGCTCTTTAGAATTCTGTAAAATTGAAAGAAGTTCTCCTGTAAAGTCTCTTGAGTGCAAAAGTGTGGACTGGCTTACCTCTTTTTTGGATAAAGAGCAGCCTTTTTTTCTTAGCAGTTTTTTGGTTGTTATTCAGATGAGTCATTGTTGAACTACCAAATGAAGTAAGAGATATTGATTGAACTTAACACTGTTCATTATAGTTGTATTAATTACATTTTTACAAATGAATAATAATTATTTTCCATTTTCAGAAAATGGCGTAAATGGAACAGTAACTTCGAATAGCGCTGACTCCCCCCGTAACAGGAAAGAGAAATCCTCATAACTGAATTTTATCAAATTAAATGACTAATGTCCCCAAAGAAATCTGCTTTTTACAATAAGGAGTTCTTCAGCACTAGACATCATTCTGATCCTAAAAATACAGTTCCTGCTCTTTGATTCTTGCTATTCTTGTATGATTTCACGCATCTTTTTTTATGGGCAGTCGTGGGGGGAGGGTGATTTCTGTGAGGGAGAGAAACATTTTGGCTTAGACTAAGCTACCTATCTTTGGAATAATCAAGGGACCATCACACCTTTTTTGTTTTTTTGTTTGTTTTTGTCTTTTTTTAAACTTTTTTTGTAATAATTGGGAATAGTTAGTTATTTAAATTTCACATCTTAAAGATCAGTGATTCGATTTAATGTTCCCACCTATATTTTTATGATCTTGGCAAATATCCAGTTCCAACAAAATCTTTTTTTTTTTTTTTTTCAGTTCTCTTTCAAGATCAATATGAAAGTAGCATAAAGTTGGAAGTCAAACTTTAAATATGTTTTAAATAGTCTCTGAATTTTAGAAGTATTATTTTTAGTAGAATTACAACTGGAAACCTGATTTTTCAAACCACCAAAATAATTGTGTGCTTTATTTTGTAGTTAGTTGTTGTCAGTGTTGCATACTGATAGATGGAAAAAAGAAAAACACACCTCTTCAAGGTTGAAGTATTTCAAAGGCATATTGCCTATATTGAATTGCAATTTCTTGTATAAATATGAAAATACTCATAATAAAAGTCTTTAAAAGTGTGTCAAAAACACTTACAGACTGGAAAATAGAATATTAAGTGTACACTGTAGAAAGCAAAATCAGATTTATGCAGCCCTTTTAATAAATAAGTTTATCAAAAATTACTCAGTAGGGCTTGTCTTAAGTTCAATGTGTACAGTGACCTAGAACAATGCTTCTTTGGTGTGCAAACCCTCTTGGAAAATAACACTGTCTACTTGATCAATATATTTGAACAGAATGTCATATTTACATCTAGAATATGTATTATGTGCACTAATTCAAAAAGGAATTGAAAGTTCAGGTGGATGAGCAGTCTTAGGAAAGACAATGCTTTATGTTATAACTATAGCTTTGGTTCCATCATTAATTGAGAAACATTTATCTGTATAAAACATATTTTTGGATAAAAAATATATATATATATATATTTGTATCTTTACAGAAAGGCTATAAAAGCATTTGAGTAAAATATTTGGTTCCCTTTTCTATAATCATCCTTTGAAATCCTTATAGTTGTATTTGAGTTGTCTTTGTCTTTCCCATGCATATATTGTTCCTTCATTGTTCATATCTTGTCCCTGTTTCTTATTTTTATCAGAAAAAAGTTAAATGTTTGTGCCTTTTTGTGTAAAATTTGCAGACAAAAATGCTTTCATTCCTTGACCACCCTGTTAAAAGAGGTCTGCAGTTAAAGTGGCCATGCTGCTAATAATGTCATGCTTTCAATTTTTCACAACTATTGACCCACTTCTAAGGAAAGGGGTCGCCCTTTGTAGCATTATGGAGTTTAGGGGAACTAGATTGTTCCAGTTACAAACTGTCATCAGGTTGAACTATATGTTGAGAAACCCAGTTAAAATAAAGACATTTTTACTTTCACAGTTTGTGTTCTGCATCTTTCTTTAGCCAATATGAAGGTTTTATTCAGCTATTAAGTTTAAAGCCATCATAATGTTATTTCCATAGGGTGAGTTTTTAAGTTTTTTGTCATGCAGCTTGAAACTACTAAGCAACATTTATATTCCATGATGAGTTTCTATCCATGGAAGTGCCAGAGAAATTTGTTTTTTTTAAGTCTTAGTGATGCCGTTTGTTTTTTACATCGGTCATGCCTAGATACACAGTATATGCACATGCACGTGTCACGACTTTCCCTTAGAACAATGAAAAAAATTTAAAACCAACTGATATCCAGGTGTCTGACAGCACAACAGATGTTTTCAGGGGTAAATTAATAATTTTATTGGTAGACCTGTCTCTGTTTCAAAATGATTAATTTACTCTTCACAGCTGGGGCCACTGAGCAATCTGCGGTAGCTTTGGAAACGGCCCAGAAGGGTAGCTCTGGAAAAACTTAAGCAATGATGATTGAGAAGAGAACTTTTGCAAAGATACCCCTTAACGGTGTGTTTGTTGGTCTGGTGACATTTAAAGAGGAAAAAAGAGCACAACCAGAGCTATAAGTAAGGAAAATTAGTCTAGGAACATTGTCTGCAGAATGAATTAAAAGCAGGTGGAGGGATATTTGACACAGGAAGACCTGTTTTGAATTTTGTCATAATAGTCTAGCACAGCTGAGAGAATCAGTGAGCATGCAAAACTCAAGAGAAGCGTGGGAAGACTTAACACGAACAAAAGTGAGATGAGACAGATCAGGAAGACAACATGCACAATGACTGAACTGAATCTATGTAACAATGATGACCAAGTGTGTGGCCTTAAAGAAAAGGTAACAGTCCACCTCCTTTCCTTACAGAGATGGAAGACCATGAGTATAGCCCAGGCATCAAACTCAGAAACAGAACTTTGCATAAGGATCTCTTAAGAGCCTCAGTGACTTAGAAAACCACACTCACAGTATATCTGTATCTGTATCTATATGTTCAAATCTATATATCTATATCTCTAGTGTGACAGATATATAAATGCATCAACACATTTAGGGTTATAATGGAGAGACATTTAAGACATGGAGGTCAACCAACTGTTGCAATAATAGAGGCATGACCTGATGAGACCCTACAACAGGTTACGGCAGTGTCAAAAGAGAAGAGGGAGCCTTTAGGAGATGATGTGAGGATCAAATCAACTGGACTTAGAGACAGAGTGCATATGGGGAGAGAGAATAAGTGAGAAGTAGCGGGTGACACTCATCGTAAGCCTGGGTAATTGGTAGGATGATGGTACAGTTAATAGGGAAGTTAGGAAGAGGGGTAAGTGTGGGAGGAAAGATAGGACAGGGAAAATCCACCCGGGTTTTCCATGCCCCTCACCTATTCCCTCTACAACATGGGTTAGATCTATGCCTGCTCTCTCCCTGACCTCGACACACAAATTAGTTTTCCCTAAAAAGCTCCCCAACCTGGTCTCCTTAATATATGGTTGTCATCCTTTGCTTCTTGGTCACCTAAGGACTTTTATGCCCTACCTACATGGAACCCATGACCCTCTGACCAGGTGGATGTCTGAAGACCAGGCATGTCACCACAACCTCCCCTGCTGGAGAAGCTAAGTGCCATTGCATCTTTTTTAGATATCTTTACTTTATTAGGACTAATTAAACCCTTTGTTAACTGTTCAACGACTTAGGAGTGCCTCATTTCTTCACAACTTCAGAAATGAATTAATAATAGGGTACTGGTGTCAAGTCTACCCCTAAAAACAGCTTTAATGACAAAAACCCCAAAACAATTTTATGAGGTCTAAAATAAACATCTTAGGTGTATTTAAATTTATAAATCACAGATTCTACTATTTTAGTCAGTATGTTTGAGGACAGTGTGTAAACAGTCCAATTTACCCAACCAAGAATTTCAGTTTTATTCTCTTTAGTTACACCCAAAGAAAAGTAAAAGTATGTTCATCACTAGGCAATGAGTTAAAATTTTAACACTGATATAAATGCCTTGCTTGATTAAATTGTTGTGACTGAGGGCTATTTAAAAGATCTCTAATTTCATTTATATATAGGTACATCTTCCTGCAGAGAATGTAACCTCCCTGTGTGTTAGGTGCTTGGGGGGCTTCTCATTAATTCACCTTGTGGCCAACATGGTGATGAGCATCTTGGCACTTTGTTAAACTGATCCTCAGAAGACATAAAACATCCACTACTGGGCCTTTTCCAAGTTGGTAGGACTTTACCTCCTGGTTTAATCTTCAGGAGACCAATGTTGCCTGAATGCCAAACTAGGCATCAAAGTAAGATATTATTAATACACACTGTTGCTTTTCTTATAGGAATCAAAATTTCACTCAAAGCTAATTTGAATGTGTGTTCATACCATCTAATGATAATATAGTATATTCCACAGAGCCTCAGCTACTGCTCTTGAGCAGATGGGCTGATGCATTTATGCCAGATGATGCTTTCAGGGTGTCCTTCCAATATAACCTCAAAGGCAGCAAAGATGGATTGAATTCTTACATAGCTCCTCAGTTCATGAATTTAGACAGCAGAGTAAATGTTCTGAGATATTTACTCTTAGGTGCTATAAAAGCACATAGTAGGATTACAGGTACACCAAAGATTAGTTTTAGAAGTTTTTCTCTAGAAAAGACTTACTTTACTCCACTTTGCATCTGCTACTCTTGATGTCATGTCCAACTCTCCATGACCCCATTTGGGGTTTTCTTGGCAAAGACACTGGGATGGTTTGTGACTTGAGGAACTGAGGCAAACAGGTTAAGTGACTTGCCCAAGGCCATACCCCGAGTAAGTGCCTGAGGTCAGGTTTGAATTCAGAACTTCCTGACTGGAAGCCCAGTGCTCTCTCTTCTGCACGACTTGTCTACCTTGTGCTGCTCTGCCTGGTTTCAGCTCCATAGAACAAGATGCCCCTTGTTGACTCATGCCCTTTTGTGTATTGTCTCCCCCTCCCTCAATTATATTGTAAGCTCTTTAAGGGGAGAGACTTTCTTTTTATTAATTGTATCCTCAGCTCTTAGCACACCACCCCATGCATAGAAGGAGCTTAATAAATGTTTAAGATAGCTAGGTGGCCTAGTGGATAAAGCTCTGGGCTAGAGTCAGGCAGTTCAAATCTGGCCTCAGGTACTTACTAGGGGTATGACCCTGGACACTTAGGTGATTCAGTAGATAGAGAGCCAGGCCTGGAGTCAGGAAGACCTGAGTTCAAAAAGAGCCTCAGAGGGGCAGCTAGGTGGCACAGTGGATGGAGCTCTGGTCTTGTAGTCACAAGGACATGGGTTCAAATCCAGTCTCAGACACATGACACTTACTAGCTGTGTGACCCTGGGCAAGTCACTTAACCCCAATTGCCTCACCAAAAATTTTTTTTAAAAAAGCCATTTACTAGCTGTGTGACCCTGGAAAAGTCATTTAACCCTGTTTGCCTCAGTTTCCTCATCTGTAAAATGGGCTGGAGAAGGAAGTGGCAACCCACTCCAGTATCTCTGCCAAGAAAACCCCATCTAGGTGGCACAGTGGATAGAGCGTCAGTCCTGGACTCAGGAGGACCTGAGTTCAAATCTGGCCTCAGACACTTACTAGCTGTGTGACCCTGGGCAAGTCACTTAACCCCAATTGCCTTTAAAAAAAAAAACTAAAAAAAGAAAAGAAAACCCCAAATGGGATCACAAAGAGTCAGACTCGAATGAACAACAACAATAAATGTTTATTGAATTGAATTTATTGGATTAGATTTCCACCCAAGTCTAAGATTTGAAATATAGAAAATTGCCATTGCATATGGTAAGTATTTTTTTTTGAAAAGGACTTCAGAGCCCCTGTGGTGTAGCTAGCCCATACCTGAGCAAGAATTTCCTCTACCAGGTACCTTCAGACCTGTAAACAAGACGTTTATTCTAGGGAGAAAGAACTCATTTTATTCCAGATTTGGACAGCTCTGTTTCTCAGCAAGTTTTTTTTCTTATGTAGAAGTTGAGTTATGGGATCCCTGCTGCTAAACAATTAAAAGTTTCAAGTTATCCCAAAAGTCAGTGAATGAATCGTTGCTTGGTGGGCATGACACACAAAGAATTACAAAGAATCCAATTCAGTTCACCAAGTACTGGTTGCCTATTCAAAAGACTACTGTTTACAGGGCAATGTGGTAGAAGTTGGGGATGAAAAAATGGTTAAAATGAAACAGTCCCTAAACTCAAGAAGCTTATGTTCTATTGGAAGGAAAACAACATTTACTCACATAAATAAATATGAAATATTTACAAAGTATATTACAAAGTAAGTATCAAAGGATAGGGGTGGGGGAGACCACCAGGAAAGACCTCTTGTAAGAGGGAGCATTGAGTTGAGCTTTGAAAGAAGGTAGGAGTCCAAGAGAGGAAGCACATAGCTGGCCCTCAATAAATGCTTGGTTTTTTTCTTTGTTTTCTTTTTTTTAATTAATTTATTTTTAGTTTTCAACATTCACTTCCATTAGCTTTTGAGTTTTAAATTTTCTCTCCCTCCCTTCCCACCTCCCTCCCCAAGACGGTGCTCAATCTGATATAAGCTATACATATACATTCCTATTAAACATATTTTCACATTAGTCATGTTATAAAGAAGAATTAGAACCAATAGGAGGAACCACAAGAAAGAAGAAACAAAACAAAACAGAAGGAAAAAGAGGAGCAAATAGTATGCTTCAATCTGTATTCAGACCCCATAGTTCTTTCTCTGGATGTGAACAGAATTTCCATCATGAGACTTTTGGAGATGTCTTAGATCCTTGTATTGCTGAGAAGGGCTAAGTCTATCAAAGTTAGTCATCATACAACGTGGCTGTTACTGTGTACAGTGTTCTCCTGGTTCTGCTCATTTCCCTCAGCATCAGTCCATACAAGTCTTTCCAGGTTTTTCTGAAGTCTGCTTGCTCATTATTTCTTGTAGCACAATAGTATTCCATTACATT